TTCCTCATCTATAAAATGAGCTGGAGAAGGAAATGGCAGACCACTCCAGTGTCTTTGCCAAGAAAACCCCAAACAAGGAGACATGGAGAACTGGGCAGTACTAAACAACAATTTTTTTTTCCCATCCAAGTTCATGCCTCTTCTAACATCCATCCAGGACCCGTTGGTCTGTGAACCTCAGGTTAAGAACCCCTGTTCTACGTATACGATTCAAATCTATATGTTCAGCACTGATCAGCTTTCTGATGGACCTTTCTCCCCACATGTTCTATCAACATCTTAAACTCAATATTCACAAAATAAAAGATCATCTTTTCCATGTCCAGAGTTTCCTATCTCTGTTGACTTATATTTTCACTGGCTGGCTGCTACACCTAAGGTTCTCTGCCTCCTGGATTCCTGGCTTCCAAGTCCCAGCTAAAATCTCACCTTTTATAGGGAGTCTTTCCCAATCCCTCTTTACGCTAGTGCCTTTCCTCTCTTTGTTATCTCCAATTTATCCCACATGCATTATCCTGTTTGCATGTTGTTGTCAACCCCTAGACTGTGAGCTCTTGGACAGCAAGGATTGGTTTTGGTTTTTGGTTTGGTCTTTTTTTTTCCTTTCTGTGTATCCCCAGTGCTTAGCACAGTGCCTGGCAGAGATTAAATGTTTGTTGACTAAACTGGAATATGATATTCTAAAGGCAAAAAAATAACTTATTTTGTGAGACTATTATCCTAGAGGGGAAAAAATAGAGCTAGTCTAATGCATTCTTAAACTATAATAATAGAAAGTATCTAGAATGGGAGAGGAGGACCTGGGTTCCATTCTTGCAGATATTTACTAGTTGTGTGACCTTGGCTAAGTTACCTGTTTGTGCCTCAGTTTCCTTATCTGCAAAATGGGGGGATTTGGATTTGATGGATTTTAAGGTTGCTTCTCGCTTTGTGATTCTCGGTCTTGGTGAGTTCCAGGTGCTATATTTTAGGAAGGACCTTGACAAATTTGAACTCATCCAGAGGAGTATGACGAGGATAGTGAAGGAAATGGAGAGTAGGCCATACAAGAAATGGTCATGATTGAAGGAACTGGGAGTGTTTAGCCTGGAGAAGAGAAGGGTTAGGGCAGGGTGAGAGGGAGGGGTATGATAGCCTAGCCAAGCAAAATAAGTCTAATTCCTTTTTCACATATAGAACAGTCTACACATATAACATGCCTAAAGTCAACTGACGTGAACCCTTTAGGACATAACCAAAGATTGACATACGGGCTGTCATCATCATCTTCATGAACACTACACCCTCTTAATGGGACTTCCCACCTGTATTTTCTTCCTGTTCTAATTCACCTTTTATACTCTGCCATAATGACCTTTTCTGCATTGTCCTGATTGTACCACTTCTCCATTTATACCCTTCAGTGGTTGACGATTGCTGACTGAGTAAAGCTCAGACTTTTTGAACTGGCTCTCCACAATCTTTCTTCTCCAGTCTTCTTTTTTCCACCCTTCCTCTCTTCTTTCCTTCCCTTTCCCCCCACCCTTCTTCCTGTCCCTCCCTCTCTCCCTCCTTCTCTGTCTCCCTACTTTTCTCCTTTCTCCCCTCCCTTCCTCTTTTCATTTTTCCTCCTTCCCTTCTTTCCTCCCTCCCTCCTTTCTTTCTTTTTCTTCTTTCCTTTCTTCCTTCCGAAAGGCATTTATTAAGATGACATTGTAAAAAACCAGTATCTATAGAACATTCTCTCCCCGTCCCCCACAAACCTGGGGTGTATTTTCCCACAAGTATACATGATGTCAATGGGAAGATTGGACACAAACTTATAGTACAGTTGTAGCGAGGCACACATGCAGGGAATATGTGTGGCTAAGACAACTCATAACTCTCCTCCAGTCTTATTGTATACCACTCTCCTTTGTTCCAGCCAAACCAGGCTTTTTGCCCTGTGTTTTCCTGACCCCATGTTGCTCCCTATACTTGGAATGCCCACCCCACTTCCTGCTTTAAACACCTACCCATCCTTTTTAATTTTTTTTCTACCCATCCTTTAAAACTCAATTCAAATGCCACCTGCTTAAGGGAGTAATCCTCAATCCCCACAAGTTATTATAATTCCCCCCTGGGTCCTCACAAAGCATTCTGTTTGCTTCTGTCTTAAGCACATATGTTATTAGTGGAGAGTCTAAGAATGCCAGCTCTGGCCACTTGGGCCCCTTAGCATGGAGAATTAAGTGTATATGACTTCCTCTTTCATCACCATACCTCAGCTTCAGAAGAACACACCCTTCTTTAACAGAACAGAACAAGGTGGAGGTAGCATCCCTGCAAGAGAGAAATCTTGGTGTAGCAGAATGAATGCTGACCTGAGTTTGAATCGTGCCTCTGACACTAACTAGCTATGTGACCATAGACAAGTCATATAATTTCTCTGACCCACAGGTTCCTCATTTGTAAAATGGCAAGAATAATCTTTGTACCACCCATCTCATGTGCTTGTTGTGAGGAGAATGCTTTGTAAGCCTTAAAGGGCTGTCTGCGTGTGAGCTACCGTTATTATACTTTGGGGGATTTCTCACACCTCTGGCTTATTACCTATATGCTGAAAATCTGAGAACTTCACTATATGGCACCTACCCAATATGTTGTCACTAATTCCCCTTGCAAGCACACAGTTCACAAAGCTCGGAGAATAAATGGTTTATTTGTGTATTGAAGAAAACAAGTAGAATTCTCATCAGAGCTTACAGAAAATACCAACACTTGCTAATGCATTAGTAAACCTTCCCTGGGGATCTGTATAGGTATAGTTACTTAGAATGCATCAATTAGAGCTTCCAATAGGCAACCCATAGTTTCCAGCAGGTGGCACCCGTCACACCTCCTGTAGTTCTCTACAACTAGTAGAAAGTAGGGCCACTACCCTTTTTCTTTTCTTTTCTTTTCTTCTTTTAAATTTTAGGCTTAAATACTTAAAAAATACACAATAGAGAAAAGAAAAAGAAATCTATTATAAACTTAAATATTGAAACTTAAATATAAAATAAAAAAATTTTAAAAAGCATGTCATGTGCACAGCAGAATGTGAGAGGATTCAAAATATATAGAAATGAATTTCCATTTCAGGAAAGCCAATATAATAAATACTACGCATTGTGTTGAGAGCTGTCCATCTTTTCTTTGCTTCCTTGTAAGTTTTCTTTTGCTTTCTGCTGTGTAATTTTTACTTCTTTTCTCCCCCAACTTCCTCCCCCTCCAAGATTACAATTAAGCTCACATATATTTATATATAGATATAGATATATACATACATATATACATGTAAACACATACATATATACATACATACATACATAGACATATCTTTTCCCTGACAAATTCTACTCCTGATCTTTACTTTTATGTTTGTGTGTTTCTCTTATTTCCTGTCCTTCCTGACTCCTCTACTTCACTTTTACCTATTACTTAACCTACCACTACCCCTTTTTCCAGAGGAAAAACCTCTCCCTGGACTTAGCTCAGCAGATGATGGCGACAGCACATTTATTTCAGAGATGCTCTGAATACTAAACCAGAGGAAGGTAACTCCTTTTTAAGTGCTGTTATTCCCATCTCTGGCTTCATACAATAGTTCACCCAGTAGTCAGGAAGGAAAGCCCGCCATGACGAGCACCTTGAAACTACAATAGAATAAGTTTCTGTCATTAGCGCCAGGCTGGAGGCAGACTGTTTCTGCCAGCTGACGGATGGCGTGCGTCCCACACCTGCGTCTGGATTTCCCATGAGTCTAGAAGCCCAGCAAGACACTTCCACTCTGCCCCCATCTTCTCCCTACCTCCAGTTATTCCTTAGGCCCTAAAGATCACTCTGTGGCCAATTTGGCTGGGATGTTAAAATTAGCCAAGGCTGCTTCCCATAACATCTAGCACAGGGGGATAGAGAAGTCAGGCACTCCCCTGATATTACAATGTGATGGAAAAAACATTGTCATCCTTGATACATTCATTCTGAAAGTCTTTGAGAATGCAGAAATCAATCTTGATAACTAATGTTTCTTGAGGCAGCTAGGTGTTGTAGCGGATAGAGTGCCAGAAAGACTCATCTTACTGAATTCAAACCTGGCCTCAGATACTTATTAGCTGCATGAACCTGGACAAGTCACTTACCCTATTTGCCTCAGTTTCCTCATGTGTAAAACGAGCTGGATAAGGAAAGGACAAACCATTTCAGTATGTTTGCCAAGAAAACCCCAAATGAGGTCATAGAGAATCGGATACAACTGAACAACACAACAACAAAATATTTCTTGGGAACAGAAAAGTGCCTAGAAAGTGAAGTCTTGTGGGTGGGATGGTATTTATTGCATCATCATGGAGCATACTACCAGAAGCATTGTCTGGCTGGTGCTGACATGCCAATGGGATCCCCCATTACAGGGCCCATTGTGACCTTAGAGCAATGTCACAGTGGGCTCTGTCTCTGGAACAGGAATATTCTCTGTGCATGGTGCTGATGCTGACACCAGAGATGCTGTAGATCTCTCCTTATTTGGTGACTGTCCGCATCCATTTTGGACAGAGCAAGTGAGAATTTTTACCAAAGAAAGATTATAATATGATTTTTTTTTCCCTTCTAAAAAAAAAAAGATACTTGATTTCTACGACATGACAAATCAGGAAACATGGTAAGATGTAAAGAAAGCCAGACTTGGTGTCAGAGGACATAGGTTTAAATCTCGTTCTGCTAATTACTAGCTGTGTGATCTTGGGCACATTACCCAACCTTTAAGGACCTCTGTTTCCTCAGATCTATAAAAAGAAAGACTTGTACTAGTTGACCTCTGAGGGCTCTCTATTCTATGCCATTCTGCCTGTTTTTGTGAGGCACTTGGGGTTAAGTGACTTGCCCAGAGTCACACAGCTAATGAGTGTTATGTGTCTGAGGCTGGATTTGAACTCAAGACCTCCTGACTCCAAGGCTGGTGCTCTATCTGCTGCGCCACCTAGTGCCCCTATTAATACTTATTTCAAAAGATCTGTGATTTTATTGGTGTGGGGATTCTATCCATCAGCAGAAATAAAAAACCCTCATGTTTGAGAAAAAATATTATTTTTAAAAAATCCTTGATGCCTTCCTGTGCAGTTCTTTATAAGCTGCAAATATTAAAAATAAAAACAAAAACCCTCTCAGTCACTCTGCATTTAGCCAGGTTGTTGCTTCTTGGGTGACATTCATTCATGCAACAAGCATTTATTTGACACCCACTATGAGCCAGGCTCTGGGGATACAGATGAAAATAAAACAGTCCCTGCCCTCAGGGGAGCTTGCATTTTGCTCTGTGTGATAGATACATAGTTTATCTCCAGGCTCAGACTAGGAGACTCTCTAGCTCAGAGTAACCCAACATAGGGTTACATGCTAAGAAGTTGGACAAGGTCTTTAATGGAGGCAATGATGACAATAATGATGGTAATGAGGAAGATGATGATTAGAGGGAGTACTCAGTTATTAAAGGTTATAATAGAGATGCAAACAGATGAAAGCAAGGATTAAGGAGCATTCACTTGCTGGCAGTTAGGGATTGTTCAGGGATCTCGGTAGAGAAGGCAACACGTGGGTCACAGGACAGAATGGATCAGAGGTCTGAAATGTGAACAAACAGGTAAATCAAGTCAAGGCTTATTCTGAAGCAAGGTCTTCCTCAGTTAAGGGCCTCTTGTATAATCCCCAGTAGGGCAGATCCCAGTTCTACCTTTTATAGAAAGCCTTTTCCAATTTCCCTTAATTCTAGTACCTTCTCTCTGTGAATTATTCCCCATTTATCCTATATATACAGCATATCCGTCTATAGTTGTTTACATGTTGTCCCCCAGGTTAGACTGTGAGCTCCCTGATATTAGGATCTTTTAGATTTTTTTTTTATCTTTAGTACTTAGCCCAGTGCTTAGCACATAGTAGGTGCTTAATAAATGTTTATCAACTGGCCCAGCTGGAGTTAGTAGAAGAGTTTGTGGGCTTTAGCTTCCTCCTCTATAAAATGAAGAGGCAGCATTAGAGAACTTTTATCTAAGTTACCTTCCATCTCTAAATGAGAAGCCTGCCAAACTTATGAAATCTAACCAACAAGGCATTGTTGTAATTCATTGGAAAGAAGATGAGCTTTGAGCTCTGAGGATCCGGTTCAGATCCTGTCTCTGGCATTAACTAGTTATCTGGGTGACCTCAAGCAAGGCACGTAATCTCCTGCTCCTCATTCCTGATCTGTAAAATGAAGGGGTCATTCCGAGTCCCTTTTATCTCTAAAGCTAGGATCCTGTGATAAGGCCCTTCTCACACTGTGTCCCGCTGTCAAAGGCAAGCTTTAATTAACCTGCTGACTAGCAGGGATAGAGAGTACTTGTGAACTAAATTTTCTTATTAACTCAGAGCCAGTGGGAACATCCAGTGACTACAAATCTTCCCGAATATCTGAGTCCTTTTCTGATTTCAGTCACATCAATCATTGGCTCATTCTTTACCGATGGCAGGTCTTCTTAGGCCTCAAGACCTTTCAGGGCTAGATTGGAGCCAGGAGGCCTAGGTTTAAGTCTGACTACTTCCAGGTTGTGTAATCTTGGAGAAGTCACTTCTTTTTTGAGAGATTCACTTTCCCTATCTGTAAAACTGAAGAGTTTGGATTTGCAAAGGCAGTGCCATACATTGGAAAGCATAAATTTGGAGTCAAAGGATCTGGGTTCAAATTCTAGTTCTTTGCCTTGCAATCTGTGTGACCTTGGGCAAGTCATTTACAGGCCTCAGTTTCCAAATCTGCAAAATGAGGGGGGTTGGACCAGATAAGTTCTGAGGCCCCTTCTGTCACTAAATCTATGAACCTATGATCCTCTATATGAAATGTTCTGAACCTGGAGTCTATGAGCTTTTTCTTTTTTAAACATTTTGATAACTGTATTTCAAAATGACCAGCTCCCTTTGTTATCCTACATGTTTTATGTTCCAGACTGCCAAAGGAGTCCATGATATACAACGGATTAAGGACCTTTGTTCCGCATTCCTGACTTGTCTACTTGTGTTGTCCATAGCGATACTGGTAGAGATACTGATGAATAGGCTCAATAGGATGACCACAAAACTTCCTGAAAGCATCTGGGTAATAAGAGCAGCAGACCTAGGTTCAAATCCTACCACTTACTACCTGTGGGTCCTTGTACAAATCACTTCATTCTGAGCTTCTGTTTCCTCTTCCGTAAAAAGAAGGGGTTTGACTAGATGACCTTTCAGCTTTACATCTATGATCACATGACTCAATCTCCCCCGAGGCTCCTTCTAACCGGGAAGTTCAATCTTTAAAGTGAACTTTCTCGGGTGGTTGTGAGACTCCAGATAAAGAACAGATAATGGAGAAATTCACTACAAACTCTGAAGTACTATGAAGACTGAAAAGTGAAATATACATGAAAGATGTTTTTTTAAAAAATCATCATTACTATCTTAGGCTGCAGATGGAGATGGGAAAGGTAGAGGATATGGATTGAGTTTGCCTTGAGTCCCAGAAAGCTGCTTTTGGGAACCAGCCCCTGATTGGAAAATATTTTCCTATTTCCTTCTGCCTAAATGGATATACTGCTAGCCTAGGGAATAGAAAGAGCTGGGGTTCCTATCTTTGACAACTTACTAGCTGTGTGACTGGGAACAGGGAACTTTACCTGTTAACCTCAGTTTCCGCATCTGTAAAATGGAGATAAAAACACCTGTTGTACCTACCTCACAGGGTCGTTGTGTGGCTCAAATTAGATCAAACATTCATGTGTGTGTGTGTGGGTGTCTATATGTGTATTTCATATATACATATAAATATATGTTATATAGTGTGTAAAATGTTAACTTTTATTATTATTGTCATCTTGATGACAATGTCATCTTAAAGTCTTAGCTAAGGGCCAGAAACAACAGCAAACAATTGAGGCTGATGTGAAGAAGACTTGAAAATTAGGGTTTGCTCCACCCCTTTGGCGAAGTCTCCGGTATGGCTGTCTGGGTGTAATCCAGAATGAGATTAAATTGATTGCTTTAAAAATCTGCCCCTGATCTGGGTATGTTTGTTTAGGGATGAGCGACGTCCAGGTGTTCTTTTATGTGTGTCTCTCTTCTATTACTAATGAGGCTAGTACTAAACGGATTGTTTTATAGATTTGGTTCAATTCAAAATCTAATAAGCACTTACTTTGGATAAAGCACTATGCTAGGTGCTGGGAATAAAAGCATTAATATATGGCTCAGTCCCTACTTTCAGGGAGTTTACCATTTACTTTGGGAAGGAGTTATGATGTGACCTGTACACAGATAAGGGCAATGTGAGGTTAGAGATACAAGTGAAGGAGAGTCCTAGATGAAAAGGTTTTGAGAGCTCTGATAAGGGACAGAACACTTTCAGCTGGGGCCATGAGGAAAAGCTTCATGGATAAGGTGGAGCCTCAGCCGAGCAACTGAAGGAAGAGGATTTAAAGGGGCAGATCAGAATCACAGAATTTCGGAGCTGAAAGGGACCTCAGTGGTCATCTATTCCAACCCATATTCATAAAGGAATTCTGACCATAATCTGTATGACAAGCAGTCAGCCAGCCCTTGCTTGAAGACCTCCAGGGACGGGAAATACACTCCACCTCCAGAGGCAGCACATTACACTTTGGGGCAGCTCTAATCATTAGGAAATTTTTTCCTAAAATCAAGCCTAAAATTTCCTCTTTGTAGCTTCCAGCCATTACTACTGGTTCTGTGCTCTGGGGTCGAGTAGAACCAGCCTCCTTCCTCCTGCGCATGGCAATGCCTCAGATACTTGAAGAGAGAGATCATCCTCCTCCCCCACCCCCTTATCTTCTGTAGCAAAACATCCCCTTCCACTGATCTTTATATGACATGGACTCAAGTCCCTTTATGCTCCTAGTTGCTCTCCTTGGGAGGCTCTCCAGCTTAGTAGTAGTGACTTTCCTGAACTATGGTGCCCAGAACTGAACACACTTCAAATGTGATACAGCCAGGGTAGAGGACAGAGGAACTACTACTTCTCTATTCCTAGAAGTGATGGCTTCCTGGATGTAGTCCTAGATCACTCAAACTTTTTATTTTTTTGGCTACTCATATGGTACAGTGGATAGAGCACCACCCCTGAAGTCAGGAGGACCTGAGTTCAAATCTGACCTCAGACCAAACACTTGACCCTTACTAGCTGTGTGATCCTGGGCAAGTCACTTAACCCCAACTGCCTTAAAAAAAAAAAAGCTTTGTTCTGCGTTCCTGACTTGTCTACTTGTGTTGTTTAATCATGTCCCACTCTTTGTGACTCCATTTGGGGATTTTCTTGGCAAAGATACTGGACTGGTTTGCCATTTCTTTTCCAGCTCATTTCACAAATGAGGAAACTGAGGCAAAGAGGGTTAAGTGACTTGCCCGGGGTCACATAGCTAATAAGAGTCTGATGCTGGGATTTGAACTCAAGAAGAAGAGTCTTTCTGAGTCCAGTCCAGGCACTCTATTTAGTGGGCCACCTAGCTGCCTACTAAAAGGCCAGAATCTTTTCTAGTTGAACTTCTATCTAATCATGACTCCCCCATCTTGTATTTGTGAAGCTGTTTTTTTTTAAATAAACCCAAATATAAGACTTCACAAGTTATCTCATGAAGGCAGTCCAATGTTCTAGCCCAGAGGTGACAAATATGGCAGCCACATTGTGCCAGCAACACTCACAAAGTGCACCAGATTAAAATGTAATTGAGAAATAGTTAACAGAATAAGTGAAAAACACAACACAACATAGAATTATGTTAATATGTGGTTTTGTAAGTCAGTATAGACCCTGTATATGGTTCTGTATGGTTCAATGGCCCAATTTCTATTTGAATTTGCCATCACTGATCTAATCCTTCAAGTTCTTCTTGGATCCCGACGCTGCCATCCAAGATGGTAGCTATTCCTCCATGCTTTGTACACTCTGAAAATGAGAAAACATGCCGTCTTTGCAAGTCGGTGATGAAAACGTTAAACAGATCCCTGTGGTCCTCCATTAGAGACCTTCTGCTATGTTGACACTGAACCATTAACAAAGATTGCTTGAGTCTAGTTCGTAATCACCTTGCTGTATTATTGTCTAGTCTACATCTCTTTATGTTTTCCACAAGAACAGTATGAGATATTTTATCAAGTGCTTTAACTGTATTTGCAGCCTGCCCCTGATGGCCCTGTTTAATAATTCTGTCAAGAAAGGACACGAGGTTAGTCTGACATAACCTATTTTTGATGAGACCATCCAAGCAGGCTCTCTGAAATCACTGTTCCCTTTTTTATGTGTTCCCCAATGATCTCTTTAATGATTTGCTCTATACTTTCCCCAGGAATCCAGGAACACGGTTTGCAGACTCTATTATCTTTCCCTTTTTTTGAAAATCAGGACAACATTTGGTCTTTTTCCATCTCTTGGTTGTTGTTCAGTCACGTCCAACTCTTCATGACCCCATTTGAGGTTGACTTGGCAAAGATACCAGAGTGGTTTTGCCATTTCCTTCTCCAGCTCATTTTACAGATAAGGAAACCGAGGCAAGCAAAGTTGAGTGATTTCCCCGGGGTCACACAACTAGTAAGTCTGAGGCCAAATGTGAATTTAGATCCTTCTGACTCCAGTCAAGCGCTCCAGCCACAGCACCACCTATCTGCCCTATCTCTTGGTACGTCTCCTGTTTTCCTGGATCTCTGAAAGATAGATTATTGGCAGTGGTTCAGCAATCACAACTGCCAGTTCTTTCCAGACTTATGCCCTGAATTCATCTGACTCAGGTGACTGGAATTCATCAAGGGGTAGGTAGGTACTTGCTTACCATCTCCTAATTTATCTGATATGTCCATTCACTTTTCCATCATTTCCAATGCAAAAGAAGAGAAAATGAAAGAAAAAGAATAATTGTTTGGGTTTGCTTTCTTTCTGTTGTCAATTATCATAGGATATCCAGTTCTCTCTTTTTGGAGAGGATGAAGCTAAGGCCGAGGGAGATTAAATGACTTCCCAAGGGTACACAGGCAGTTAGCATCAGAGCTGAGATTCCAAATCAGGTCTGGTAACACCAAGGAATCAGGCCTCCAACTTAAGCATTTTTTCCACAACACCATTCTGCCTCTGATCATCCCAGCCATCCCAAGCAGCCCGTCTGTTCTTTGATCCTCCTCTTTCTCCCAATATAGCTAAATGTAACAGGTGCAAAGAGAACACATTCCACGTGACCCCCACATGTAACAGATGTGAATGAGGTTCTGGGGTCTAACCACATTCACTCGTAGTCACCCAGTCTCAGTCTGCACTCGACTTGCTGCTGCATATTTAATTTATTAATCTTGCACTCTATAATAATCCAGGGGTATACTGAATAATTTATTTCTCATTAATAAGTCTGTAATCTCTTGTCATTAATTAACTGATTTAGCTTGAGCCCTCACTCCAGTTCATTAAATATTAATTATTCAGTGAATAAGAGAAAATTCCTTTCCCATTAGTAATGTTTCTTATTTATGTTTAAATAAATACTAAAATAACAAAATATATAATTTATTAACAAACTGAATAAACATATTTATAATTTATAATATTTTGACAATGACCAATGTCATTGCTAAAATCACTTCAAAACCCTGTGATGATGATGATGATAATAATAATAATATTTATATAATAGTATGTGCCAGGTACTGTGCTAAATGTTTTATAATTATTATCTCATTTAATTTTCACAATAACCCTGGGAGGTAAATGTTATTATTAGCCCCATTTTACATATGGGGAAATTGAGGCAAACAGGAACTTGCCCAGGATGATATAGCTAGTACCTGTCTGAGGTCATATTTGAACTAAGGTCTTCCTGATTCCTGGCTCAGTTCTCTTATACACTACATCACCTCATTGCCTCTGTAATAACAACTGGATTTATAAAATACTTTAAGGCTTGCAGACAATTTTACATATATTCCCTTTTATCCTCACAAGGACCCTGTGATGTAGCTGCTATTATTTTATCCCCAATTTACAGATGAGGAAACTGAGGCTGAGAGAGAGCAAATGACTATAGCTAGTGAGTGTCTGAGGGCAAGATTTGAACTCAGCTCTTTCCTCACTGCAAATCCAATTCTCTAACCATTTTGCCACCTGCTCGCCTCAGTAATGTCACAAATTTAACTTCTCTCCACATTTAAGATTACTCTTTCACTGTCTCTCAAGATATTAAAGTCTCTGAAATCCTTTTCATAAGAGGTGAAAACAGACACTTCAAGAAAGATCTCTTCACCTATTTCCTCTCTGTCTTCCTCAGTTTCTCTCAAGCTAATATTTTAATAACTTCTCTCACATGACATCTCTCTGTTTCCAGAGGGAGAGGTGACTTCACATCAAGACACCTCCTGACTTTCTGACGCCAGCCTGACTTTCTCCCAACATTCTATCTGAAATCCTAAAGCTTGTGCTAATATCTGAGTTCCTATTTGGCTCATAAAGAGACAGTCTTCTTAGTCACTGTGACAGAGATCTTTGAAATAAGGGTTAAGTTAAAAAAAAATGGGGCACTTAAGTGGCACAGTGGATAGAGCACCAGCCCTGGAGTCAGGAGGACCCCAGTTCAAATCCAGCCTCAGACACTTACTACCTGTGTAACCCTGGGCAAGTCACTTAACCCCAATTGCCTCTAAAGAAATGCAAAATACCATAATCCTTTTTATTGTCCCTAGCTTTCCTATCCAACCTCAAGGCTCATTCTGAACTCTGTCACTCTGGACATTCTTACAATAATGTCACCCTTTTTTGTGTAAATCTTCTGTTACCTCCTCTTCCGAAAATATCTTTAAAATCTAATATGGTCGATAAGTTCCTTGCATATTCACATTGGCCTATGCTATAATTTACATTTTTCCTCCTCTTCAGAATCCTTTCAGTTTGTGTCTTCACAATTTGATTCTTGAGAGTTTCTCACTCTTTCTTAGGCTGATTTTCTCCATAGAATTTTAGTACATGGGAATCCTGTCATATCTTTAATTTTAACCCTTGGAAATCCACTTCCCCAAAATCTAGGGTGCATGTCAGACTCTATGCCTGGTTTTCTTCTTTTCCTCTATCACAAACTCTAGGAGGAAGTAAAGTGATTACTTTCCCTGAAGGTTCTCATCTTTTTTTTTTTTTAAATTAATGATGTCCTTTCAATTGCTGAGAATTAGGTTCAATATAGAATTTTTCCTTGCTGGTTTCTCTACCTTTTGAAGAAGGGAATTATCATTTTGGCAAGTCAAGAAGTTATATACTTGGGCAGCTAGGTGGTGCAGTGGATATAGCACTGGCCCTGGATTCAGGAGGACTTGAGTTAAAATCTGGCCTTAGACACATAACACTAGCTGTGTGACCCTGGGCAAGTCACTTACCCCCATTGCCTAGCCAAAAAAAAAAAAGTTACGTATTACTAGTAGCTTTTGGCAGAGAGAAAGCTTAGATTATGTCTGGATAACTGAAGTCCCCCATGACTACTATATCATGTTTGTGCTTTGTTCCCAGGATTCCTTGCTTGTTTCCTTTTTCTGTCCAAGTGGTCTGTATTATACTACAATGTCAGATAAGCTTTGATTTCTTTCTTCATTGAGATCTGTCCAAATGCTTTCTATCATTGATGTTTCTTCCTTTTGGTTCCTTGATTTTGCATCGTGAGGGGGAAAATCTACAAAGAAGTATATACAATATACTTCTTAATGTACAGCAGTATCCCATGATCTGTTTTCTCTTTCTCATTTCATTTGAATAAAAATGTGAAAATCATGGTCTAGTAATATTCTAGAGCTACCAAACTTCAGTAATAACTATGAGATCAACTTTGACTCCTTGTGTCAGGACTTATAATTCTTTTTGCTCGTCTAAACTTTGGGCATTAGTGTTTAGACATTCAAGACTATGGGAAGGGGAAGACATGAGGAAAGGGGGAAGGCAGCAAGCATTTATTAAGAGCTTGCTATGTGCTGGACACCTACTTGCCTCAGTAATATCACAAATTTAACTTCGAGCCACATTGAGGGTTACTTTTGCACTGTCTCTCAAGATATTACATAAAGTCTCTGAAATCCTCTTCATAAGAGAAAGGTGAAAATAGCTACTTCAAGAAAGATGTCCTCACCTATTTCCTGTCTGTCTTCCTCAGTTTCTCTCAAGCTAACATTTGAATAACTTCTCTCACATGACATCTCTCTGTTTCCAGAGGGAGAGGTAACTTCACATCAAGTCGCCTCCAAATGCCAGCCTGACTTCCTCCCAACATTCTATTTGAAGTCCTAAAGCCTCAGTGATAATATCTGAGTTCCTATTTGGCTCATAAAGAAATTTAAGTGTTTTACAAATTCTCATGGCTTTTACTACTAGCTCTTTTCTTACTTTTTTGCTTCCTTCAAACTTCTAGGTTTCCTAACTGCTATTCTTCTTCCCTCACCATAGCTACTTTTTTTTTTTAAGGCAATTGGGGTTAAGTGACTTGCCCAGGGTCACACAGCTAGTGTCAAGTGTTTGGTCTGAGGCTGGATTTGAACTCAGGTGCTCCTGACTTCAGGGGTGGTGCTCTATCCACTGTGCCACCTAGCCGCCCCTCATAGCTACTTTCAATTGTAACTAATTTGGTGGATATAAATGGGCAGTTTTCTCCCTCCCCTATCCTTAAAAAATAAAAAATAAAAAACTTTTTGGTTACATTTGCAAGACATTCTTACCATTCTTTTATAGATGCTCTCTATTTCCTGGTCGGGAATGTCACTCCTATATTTTCAGTCATAGTCCAGAAATCCAAATCTCATTTTCGGACACCACCTTCTCAGCCAGCTAGCTGTTTACTTCTCACATCAGTTTTTCTCTTCTGAATTCCTGGTGAGAGAAATGATTATTTTTCTATTATATTAATAAGCAATTATTAAGTTAGGATTGGGTTTTTCTTTCTATTTCCTTATTCAGGGACCAGCCCTTGCAGGTCATTCAGTCAGTCTGTGAGGGACATTGCTGATAGATGTGATTGCCCAAATCCTCCAGTTTCATAGTCCTCCATCTTGGGCAGGACCCCACCCAACTAGAAGACCTTACTTCTGTTTAAAGTGTAAACAGAATCCAGTCTAGGTGGGTTTCTGCTCCAAGGAGATGAGCCACTGTTCTTGGAACCCTCCATTAGAATTTAGGGTGACCCAACTAATGAAAGAGAAAACCAACCAGAGCAGTCTGGGTAGAGATGGATTGCTTTGTCCAGATTTCTAGAGGCAGCTGAGCCTCATGATCAAGTCACATTCTCAGCAGGAGGAGCTAAAGACGTTTAGCCCACCTCCTCATTAGTAGGTCCACCCCCTCATTAATTGTTCACCAATCAGGGCTGATTTTCACCTGTCAGAGGCACCGCCTTTTCCAAAGGTATTTAAGCATTCAGGGATCTCTATGGTTTCCTCTTGACGACTGAGAGAGACCACTGACCACCAATTTATTGGTTATTTGCTAGCCTAATTAATAAATTGATTATTAACTGCCCAGAAATTCTGTCACTTGGGCTTTTCATTCGTCACGCTTGTGTGGTGGGAGCAATGTCCTTGCCCCTGTCCCCTATGCATGGCAGACTAGTTTTTCCACAAAAGGTATTAAAATCATCCTTGAGGCTTGGTTGGCTCAGAGAACCAAGCGCTCTGGTTGTTGACAGTACTTCCGGATTGCCCAAAGACGAAATAGCCAGCTGCTTTCTGATGCCTGGTGCCTCGAAGACTGCGACGGGCAGGTTAGGCAAGGCTGCTCAGGGTGATCTCAGTGAGATAATATTTGTAAAGTACTCATCGTAGTGCTTGGCACTGAGTTGCAGCTCCTTCATAATGCTTGTCTGAGCTTCCCCTTTCTCTCCACTGTCCTTGTTAAATGTGCTTCTCCTGCTGTATCTAAGTAAATCTGCTTTTGTTAATTGCTGAATGATCTACAAGTGTCTCATTTTATTCTAGCATAAAACATAAACTACCAGGGAACTGACTGGCCTGAGTCAGGCCCAGCCCAGAACATCTTCCCTTCAATTAACTGCAGTGAGGAAAACATAAACTATACCTTTTATGTCTTCAGTTTCTTGCCCAACACTTTGTAATATGTGGCAATATTTCCTGGGTTCCTTCTGGCACTACTCTTTGTAGCCATGTGAATCACCAGAAGTAGGGAGTAGTCGAGTATTCAGGTCTTGGGAGGTTCTCTATTATCAGGCAAAAGTCTTCTCTTATCAGGCCAAACCAGTAACTGCTTCACTACTCCCTTCTTCCTCTGTTTCTTATTGAATGATCTCTTACCTGGTAGCTTCCTTGCCTTTCCTTTATTATTCTTAGGAAGCCTCTTCATCCCTAACACACCCAGCCCTCTCCTCTCCAGGAAGAGCCGCAAATTAGTTTTTGCTCTCCAAGGTTACAGTTTCCCCTTTCCTTTCCTTCCTCTGCTGTGTGACATTCTTACCCTCCAACCTCCTCGTAAGGGTCAGATTTCCCTTCTGCCATTTCAAAACGATTTTCCCTCTTCCTCAGGCTCCTGAGTAAATTTTTTGCTGTTGTTTGTTTTAAAGGAATGCTTTGTTGTGCCTGATAACAGAGATTGAGTAGCGCTATTCCTTGAGTCCCATCCTTTCTTTTCTAGGAGGGAGACTAGACCACTGCTGATATATAAATAGCAAGCCTCTTGTCTGTCTGCAACAGAAATGTAAACATGGCACATCCAGCTGTCCCTGGAGATTTCTTCCTGCCTTCCTTTCTGAATGAGCTTCCCAGCCTTGTTTTTGAACTACTCGTGGGTGTTTATACCTCACTTTCTAAGCACCTGTTAAGACCTTTATACCTTTTATTGACTCTTAGTAACTTTATAGCCTCACCCTACTTCCTTCTCCTTTCTCCCTAACCTCCTATTTGTTTAACCATTTTGTTTTCTTTATCCATTTATTCTGTGTATTTATATTACTTACCTTGTCTTCCCAGCTAACTCCCTTCTCTTTTTCCTTCTTCAGGGCCTGACTTCTTAGTCCTTTTCTTCCTTCTTATTGAATCCTTCATTAATTTAAAATTGATTAATCCTTTTTCCTTCCACTCAATTTGCCCTTCCACAGATTATTCTCAAGTTCTACCCAATTTTTCCAAATTTCTTCTCCAAATTTAACCTCTGGCCTTCTTCATGAGTCCAAACCTCTCAAAATCACCTTCATGATTTCTTTCTCATTATTCAGCTTCTTATTTGCTCAATCCTTCTCCCTTCTCCCTCTCTTACAAGCTTTGCCCATGGAAACCAGACGCAGAATAAAGAGATGGGGAGGGATGCCATTGCACATAGGGGAGGGCAGAGGTTAGGGAACAATCAGTTGTCTAGTTTGTGAAAGGGGGACTATTTAAAAAAATTTTTTTTTTAGGCAGTTGGGGTTAAGTGACTTGCCCAGGGTCACACAGCTAGCAAGTGTCAAGTGTTTGGTCTGAGACTGGATTTGAACTCAGGTACTCCTGACTTAAGGGCTGGTGCTCTATCCACTGCGCCACCTAGCTGCCTCATGTGAAAAGGAATATTGCACAATAAGATTTGAAAGGCAGATTGGAATCAGGATGTAAAGAGTATTAAAATTCAAGCCTTTTTTTTTTGCATTTTATCCATTGGGAAATATGGAATTGCTGCAAATTTTTGAGCAGGAGACTGAGACTTGTGCATTAAGAAGATTATTTTGGCATCTCTCCAAAGGCCAGTCTAGAGAAGGGAAAGCCTGGAAGCAAAGAGACCAGCTAGGCTAACTATTTCAGTGGTCTACATAGGAAGTGATGAGAATGGTAATAGTATGAGTAGAAAAGATAGAATTCTGGAGGTAAAGTCAACACATGAGTAGATATAAGGGGGCAAAAAAAGGATGGACCCTCAAAGATGGGTCTGAAGCTTCGAATCAGTGTAAGTAGGAAGATGGTGAAGCCATCAGTTAGGGAAAGGATAATGCATTCAATTTTTGACACTTCGAATTTAAGATTCTGCTAGTGCATCCAGGTGGAAAGGTCCAGTGGGCAGGCAGCTGATGAACTGCTGCACCTGCTGGTGGAACTGGAGTTTGGGAGAGACATTAGCCTTGGAGACAGAGCTTTGGGAACCATCTGTATGGAGATAATAGTTGACCTCATGAGAGCAGATGAATTTGCCAAGGAAGCACAGAGGAAGAGAAAAGGGCTCAGAAGACATCCATCCTTAGGGAGTGGGAGGAGGAGGGTAAATCAGAAAAGCTGACTAAGAAGGAATGTTCAGCCAAGTAGGAGGAGAGTCAGAAGGGAGTAGCATCTTGGACAAGGCAAGGAAGGAGAGAGTATTTAGAAAGAAAAGATCACTTATCTGTGTGTGTATGTGTGAGTATATATCTTTGTGTTTTTCCATTTTTATGTTTATGAGGGTGGGGGGGGTCTCTATGTGAGTGTAATAATATCTATTTGTCTGTGGGCATATTTTTGTATTTGAGTATATCTTCTAGGTATTTCTGTATATTTAGTTATGTATGTTTCTCAGTGAGTATGTATATCTCTTTATTACATGTGTATGTACTTCTCTTCCATCACTAATCAGGATGAGATCAAGCTCATTGTTTTAAAAGCCTGTCCCTTATCTGGGTAGGGGAGCACCAACATTAATCCCTGCTCCAGCATGGAGAGATGGCTTTAAAATGTATTGTGTGAAGGGCAGTTCCTGGGTCTAACAATGCATCTGAATACAAGGATAAGCAAACTTGTGTTCTCTCTCTGAGCTCTGGACTATGACCTCTGCCCAGTGGACACCGGAGCTCCGTTGGTAATGGTAGTCTTGTCCTGAGAGGTGATATGGAAGCATCTCCTGCTGGGCTCCCAGCCTCTACTTGGGAACTCCTGATTTCTCAAACTCACAAAATTGCTGCCAGAGCTGGAAAATAGGCTCAAGGAAAGAAACACCAAACAAAAGAGCCAGCCAGGGACTTGAGGTCCGGTTTCAGACTTACCTAGATAACCATATGTTCACAATGCCACGTGCTCTTGTTGTAAACCCCCTTACTGCTGGGTGCAGAGTGCAGAGAAATATCTCCACCATTATGTCCTTGCTGAAAGTCCAAGGGAGACTGGGAGCTAGAGCCAGCTGATCTATTCCAAGACAGAGTACCTGCCTAAAGGAGAGAAGAGCACAGCTCTTGTAACCATAGCGGGGAGATCCCTGTAAAACAATCCATCCTCCATAACTTTCTGTTAATAATTTTCTTTTATACAAACCCCAGGCTGACCTATGTCTTGCCACTGGACTTGACTCTGGAGAAGAGAGTGAGGCTGACGACTTTATACTGCCCTGCCTCACTTAAATCCAATTCACTTGCAAATCACCCTCCTGAAGTCATTGGTGCTCTTTGAAAATGAAGGATGAAGGACAAACAACAACAAGGAATGGGGCTGCTAACATAGGCATTGCTACTTATCTTAGCAAAAGGAAGCTCTTGTCCTTCAGCAAAAGCCAATTCATCCCCAAGGTGCCAGAGCACATGCTCCATGGGACCTCTTCACTACACACTTATCCTCTTTAACCCCCGGGTTCATCCATGAAATCTGATTATTACTTTCTCACAGGATCAAATGAAGAAAAATGGGTGGGAAAGTGTTTAGTAACTTATCTCACTGATTTGATACTTTGACTGGTTAATCTATTTTCATATTCCCTCCATTAATAGATTACAACCCATCTATATATTTTCTTATCCTGAATGATGCTTATCTATATTTTTCTCTAACTTCTCTAGACACTGTATCCAATGTGATGGAGGCCTTCCTTTTGACTATTTTGTGGATGCTAATGCAATATATAGAGTAGTCATCTGCTCTTCTTCATCCTTGTTATATGACCAACACACCTTTTCTTCTGGACAAGTCCTTGTCTTAATATCTCAAATGCAAGTCATTGTTGGAAACGTGCTTGTATCTTGCTTATCCTTACCATTCCTTTTGGTTTCCATTTCCCTTTGGTCACCTACAATTCTAATTTCTGAAATCATGGTGTTCCATGATCCACAGTCATATGGCAACACCAAGATAGCATTTGTGGTTAAAGGATGGACTCTTACGAAAGCAAGTCACTCGGGAAAACCGAAAGTGCTAATTTCCCAACTGTGATCCAGCCAGTCAGGCTCTGCCTAGTTAATCCTGAACCTTACTGGTAATTCTGCAGTGCTGAGATACATGTATCAAGGCACTGAAGGGATGGGCTATCTCCTCTGACTGCATGCCGTCATTGGCATTTGTATGCACTTTGGGTGGTTAGGGAAAGCAAATTCAAAAGACCATGGACTTCATTAAGGAGGCTTTCTAGCAATCTAGGGCTCTGTGAAGAGACCTTAGAGTCCATCTGCTCCAGCCTCTTCATTTTACAGATGGGAAAATTGAGGCTTAGAGAAAAAAACCCAACACCTTTTTGTCCAAGGTCACACAGGTAGAGTGTGGCAGACCTGTGATTCAAACAGGTTCTGACTCCAAACCCAGAGTTCTTTCCACTGTACTATGTTGCTTCCTATTAAGCAATGATAATTTGATTGCTCAAGCCTTAGCCTGACATGGTAGATAGAGGGCCAGGCTGGAAGTCAACATGAGTTCAAGTCCTGTCTATGATACATATTAATTATGTGTCCATGGGCAAGTCAATTAACCTTAGTGCCTTAATCAACTCTCTTAAGACTAGAGACCGCAAAGTTGCTAAAACTGCGCTGGTGAAGAGAGTTTCCCGTAGATAGATCTCCTACACTAATAATAATAGCTAGTATTTATATAATGCTTTACAGTGTGCAAAGCCCTCTTACATATGTGTTTAAGAATTAGATGACTGGAAAGGCAACACAGAAAACCAACTAATAGTCAGGAAGTTTGGGGTTCTAGTTCCACTTCTGACATACTACTGACTGAATGATCCTGAACAGGTAATTTAAACTCTCAGTGATCCAGGCAGGTCTTCAACATTATAAATCACAAAAGAGTTGTGGGTCTGGATTGGTAGAGGGGGTTTCTTACTGGGAGTTCTTTTTGCCAATTAAATCACAGGTCTGGAGCAACAGCAATAATAAAAAGAATTGGAAAACTGCCTTGATTTTAAATGCCTTAAGCTATGGAGCTGGAGTTATAATTAGCAGCTAAGAGTTATCTCTGCTCTCTCCGTCCCATTGCATGTCACTCAACCTCTATGCTATGAGACCCCAAATTGCATGGCCCAATGGGAGAGCTAGTACCCCCAGGGCTGCCAGGTCAGATGACTTAGGCCAGGGGGGCTCAGGGTTACCCAGGTGCCAACAGCTTAATACGATCATCTGCCCTTTCTGGGAAACTGGCCCAACCTGCCAGTGTAGTATGGGTATGGCATCACCCCCTTCCCCAACTCTTCTTCCTCTCTAGATTGGAGGCAGGCTTGCTCACCCCACTGTACTCATGCTGATGGGTTTGGCGTGGCAGGAGGTTTCCATACTGCTGCTACTTACTCATTCTCAGGGTCCTAGGGGTAACCCTGGTATGGAGAAGCTAGACATCTACTACTCACAACTGTAGCTCCTAAGCCCCAACCATTATGCTTCCCATTAAAAAAAAAATCAACTGAGAAAATACCATTAATTCTTAATCATTACGTATTTACTAAACAAGAAGGCAAAAGTAAGAGTAATCATAACAAAACAGTCCACACATAAAACGGAGTCACATGAGCAAGACATTCTCAGAAAAACCTGGAAAGACTTATATGAACTAATGCAAAGTGAAATGAGCAGAACCAGGAGAACATGGTACACAGTTAAAGCAATATTGTATGATGATCTACTGTGAATAATTTGGCCATTCTCAGCAATACAACGATCCAAGACAATTCTGAAGGACTTATGATGAAAGATTGAAGATGCTTTTTCTTTACTGTCTTAATTTTTTTTTGGTCTGTGCTTTCTTTCACAGCATGAGCTACATGGAAATGTGTTTTGCATAACTACACATGTATAACCTATGTCAAATTGCTTGCCTTTTCAAGGTGTTGGGGGGGGGAGGAGGAAAGGGAGGAAGGTAGAGAATTTGGAACTCAAAATTTGAAAAAAAATAGAATGTTAAAATTGTTTTTACATGTAAGGGAAGGAGAATAAAATTCTAAATTTAAAAAACCTGAATCACATTCTCCCCTTAATGCACACAGGGTCTGTAGGAGAAGAGTAGGCACAGACTTAGAGAAACCTAAAAAGGACGCATATGAATAAGTAAGGAAACTTTGCTTGGGACAGCTCACAACTGTGGACTGCAGGCCTTACCTCCTTCATCTCCTTAGGGAATAGTCTTTACCAGGTGCCACCTGCTAGATGAGGATATTCTTTTTCTGGACTTCTCCATTCTCTTTCTGGGAGAAACCACTTCTCTGCTGGCTGCTACCCCAAGCTCACTTGACACAGTGTGAAGCTCTTATAATGAAAGAAGAAAGAAGACCCTCAGACTGGAGTCTGCAGAGCTATTGAGGTCTATTGGACTCTGAGCAGCATTAACTTAGCAAAACAATTCCATTTAGTCTGGCATCTTCAGTGTAATTCAGGTTTCCTTCCTGGGCTTATACCCAGGGTTTATACCCACTTAAGCCATAGGTAGCAATTAGCAATTAAGGGCAGAGCAGCCTAGCTCTTTCCTTTTCCCCACCAGATCTTCAAACAACAAAGGGTTCTTCCAGTCAGATCAGTTCCCAGCAGCAGTTGCAAAATTGGTCTTGGCTGGATTCAGCTTGAAGCAGCTGCTTCTCTCTTCTGATTCAGATCACTCTGCTTGTCTCTTCTGGACTCAGCTTCTATCTTCTGCTCTCAGTGGTTGTTGACTTACCTTCTTCAGTTACTCATTCTAGCCTCTCAGTGATTCCTGCAGGGTCCCCTGGTGTGAAGTGACTCACCTGTGCCGCAGAGTGAGAAATCAGAATTCACATTACTGTTAAACCCAGAACAGATAAGCAATGTTTCATTGCTCCATAGTTACCAAAAAGGTTCTCCATGTCAGGGTTTTCCCAGGCATCACCCTCCAAGTCCACACAATTTGTTGTTCAGCTGTGTCCGCTCTTCATGATTCCATTTAGGGTTTTCTTGGCAAAGATACCGACTCAGTTGCCAAATCTACCTCCATAGCATCTCTTCCATCTGTCCCCCTCTTCACTCATACAGTCACCACCCGAGTTCAAATCAGGTTAACAAACATTTATTAAGTGCCTATTGTGTGCCAGGCACTGTGCTAAGCTCTGGGGGTACAAAGAAAGGCAAAAACAGTTCCAGCTCTCAGGCCACTCATCATCTAATGGGGGAGAAAGCACATAACCATATACAAACAAGATATAGACAGGATAAATTGGAGATAACCTCGGGCCCTCATCATCACTTGCCTACATGCTTACAATTGAGTCCTAATTGGTCTCCCTGATTCAAGTCTTTCCACATTCCAGTTCATACTCTAAATCACTGCCAAGGAACTTAATTAAAGCACAAGTCTGACCATATCACCCACTCCCACCTCCCACACTCCCATAGAGCCCCCTATTACTTCCAGGATCAAATATAAATCCCTCTTTTTTGGGAGACCTTCACAGACTTACCCCAACCTACTTTTCCCCAGGAACGCCATATTCCTTTCAAACGGGCCTTCTTACTCAGACACGATCACCCATCTCCTACCTATGTATTAGAGCTTCTGCTGGCTCTCTCCTCTGACTGCAATGTTCTTTCTCCTCAACTCTGTCTCGAAGAATCTAGTTCCCTCAAGACTCAGTTCAGTTACCAGCTTTTACAAAGTTTTTCCTGATCATAGTTACTAGTCCCTTTCCCACAAAACCACCTTGTAGCTATTTCATGTATACTTACATGTTATATATGTACCTAAACATGTATATATGTACACGTGCATGTGTATGTATATGTATATGTGTGTGTGTGTGTGTTTTTAAGCATGTCCAACTCTTTTTGACCCCATTTGGGGTTTTCTTGGCAAAGATACTGGAATGGTTTGCCATTTCCTTCTCCAGCTCGTTTTACAGAGGAGGAAACTGAGACAAACAGGCTTAAGTGACTTGCCCAAGGTCACATAGCTAGTAAGTATCTAAGGCCAGATTCAAACTCAGGAAGAAGAATCTTCTTCTTGGCTCTAGGCCCATCTATATATCTAGGCAAGTAGGTGGCTCAGTAGATAGAGCCTCAGGCCTGTATGTGTGTATGTGTGTGTATGTATACCTATATCTCACAATATACATATAATATACATATATGTATATAAAATATACACAGCATACACATATAATATATTGTGTATATGTATATGTTATATTGTATATGTATATATGTATATGTGTATGTGTATGTATATTATATATATATATATTTTTCTCCCCAATAGAACATGAAGTTTGTGTGACAGAGACTGTTTCAGTTTTGTATGTCAGGTACCCAATAAATACTGGTAGATTGATTGACCTATACCATATGACTTCTCTGTCACACAGTAAAAACTTCTCCAATTTCTGTTTAATGTTTTTCTAGGATAAATGGTTTTACTCATTATTTGCTGCCTATGATGGTCTTTTGTGTAATGAGTCTCTGGTAGGAAGAGGCTAAGCTATGGAGTTCAGCTAAGGGCTACCTTCCCCCTGGAGAGAGACCAGAGAGTGCCTTTTGTTCTGAAGCCAGACTTGTACTGCTAGACTAGAGATATTTGAAAGGTGGAAGATAGATAGAATATTAACCCAAGGCTCCTCTTGGAGACTAGAAGGTAGATTACCCAGCCTCGGCAGTCCTGGACCATGCCTCCTCCAACCCCAGGTGTGCTGCTGGTGGTGCCACCTGGGCCCTCCTCTGTTCTTAGCTTTGAGCAGCATTTCTATGTATTAATGCAGCCACCAACTACATCTAACCTTATAGTGATAATCATAACTATTTAATATACATAGCACTTTGTAGCTTTCCTCATAGTAATTTATACAGCAAATGGTTCAATTATTATTACTCTCAGGGTAGGTAGGTGGCACAGTGGATAGAGCAGCGGACCTAGAGTCAGGAAGACCTGCGTTCCAATGTGACCTCAGACACTTAGTAGCTCTGTGACCCTGGGCAAGTCACTTGACCCTGTTTGCCTCAGTTTCTTTATCTACAAAATGAGCTGGAGAAGGAAATGGCAAACTGCGCCAGTATCTTTGCCAAGAAAACCCAAATAGGGTCATGAAGAAAACCCAAATAGGGACATGACTGAACAACAGCAGAACATTGTTACTCTCATTCTACCGATCTGACAGCCGAGGCTTAGAGAGGTAGCATAGGTGACAAGGCCGTATAGCAAGTGGAAGAGCATTGACTTCAGGTCCTTTGCCTCTGTGACCAGTTCCTATTTCTCTGCCATATTGCCTCTTGATAAAGTAAGGTAGTTGAACCAGCTGATGTTGCTTCTTTCAGTATCTGAAACGGTCTTTTTGTGTCGATCTATAAACCCTATTTCCCAATAATATTAAGATTTCCTTCTGAAATATTAGGATTTCCTTCTGAAGGGAGAATTACCTTCCTGTTCCTTTCCAGCATCTCACTTCTGGGAGGTTCCATCCAGTAAGAAATTCCTTCTGTGTCCAGCTTGGAAACTGACATCTCCAGACCTTGGGTGGGCATCTTCTACAACCTTCTGCTTATATGGGGACTCTTGGCCCTCTGCCCCCACAACCAACTTATAAATTCAGAGTCTAACTTCAGAGAAACTCTGCTGGTCCCACAGGGCTGAGGGGCTTCAGCACTCCCTTCTCCATTCATGGGGCCCCTCTACTCTGGATCTAGGTATTTGGTTGGACCAGGTTCAGGCCTGGGGGAGTCTGCTCCTAAACAGAGTCATTAGGCTCCCCTTTCTCACACTCATCAGCTCATTAAAACCCTTCCCTGGAATCCTGGGGATAAATTATTTGAAGCTTAGATGTTGGCTCAAGTCCAGGGATTCCCCAAAAAAGGGGAAAGAAAAAGGTACTTAGTAAATATGAATATCAATCAGGTACGGTACAGGTAATTTATTCCTACACGCAACATACAGGACTCACAGCATGCATTAATGGAAAGAATGACTTAAATGGGATTAAGTAACTTAACTTATAACTACTGTTACAATCTGTTGGGAGGCTGATCCTTAAACCTCATCAGAACAAAAAGTAGTTTGTAGGGCTGCTAATTAGGCATTTTACATTTCCCTTCAGCTTTTCACTGTCCAAGTAATTTTCAGGACATGTTTGCCAGCACAGCACCTAGACTTGGGCCCATCTTCGCTGTTCTCTTCCACAGGGACTACCCTTGCTTCCAACCAGCTCCAACCCAAAGTGATCCACAGAGCCTCTGGACCGGGGATGGCAAACCTGTGGCCTCAAGGCCACCTGTGGCCCTCTAGGTCCTCAAGTGCTGCCCTTCAGCTGAATCCAAACTTCACAGAACAAATCCCTTACTCTGGACCATGCCACTTCACAAGGACTCCTCCAAGTCTAAACACATGTGCCCTGAGAATGAATTTCAATCAACTACTCAGAAAGGAAACACAAAACAGAAAAGGAAGCCTACAGGGCCAGGTTCAAGCCTGCTTAATTCAGTCCATACTCCTTGCAGAAGCAGTGTTGAGCTGGAGGGAAAGGGTGCCACCCAACACCCCACCTCCCTTCACTGGGGGCCTAGAGACAGTTCCTTAACCTGCTAAATGGTGGTTAAAGCAAGAGGCCAGGCCAGAAACTGCTCTTCTCTTAAGTTTTTTGGAGTGGGGAGAGGCCTAAAGGACTACTCAGGCTTGTCATGTCATGCCAAAATGCCACATCCTCCCAGGGCTGGGCCATCACCTAACCAGAAGCAAGCCTCAGAGTACCGACATGGTAGATTGGAACCAGCGTGCACCATTGGATGTCTCTGCTAGAACAGTGTAATGAGAATTGGGCATATGTATAGACTTCATCAGTATGCTAAGTTGGAAGATGAAAGGGAACTCCTTCCAGGGAAACCAGGATGACGTGTGAGAGACGTGCACGTATGGAATATCTGTAACAGGTTCCAGTTGGCTTAGAATCTTTTTCCCTTGCCCAAATAGTGTGTTCAAAAGGGCCTGCCACAGTTCTTGCTGTCTTTCTTTGCTATATTAGAGTCTGAGGGAGCAAAGTGATTCTTGATCATGGTATATGAGACCATGTGGTTAGGAAAGAGGGCCTTCTTGCCTCCTCTCTCCCTAAGGCCATATGGTTCCCCTAAAAACAGTGTTCTTAGCCTTTTTGTTTATTCTTTTTTCTTTCTGGGTACAGGGGATGGAGTCTCCTGCATAGGTATCTTGGAGTCTAGGAATCCAGGTAGAATATTGCAGCTAGGCTGGTATTGATGCCCTGAGGAGCACAGGGCCAGGACTCCAGCCCAGCAGAAGCTCACAGAGATGCTGCCTTTGGATGTGAACTTAGTGGGACCACTGCTATGTACGGCCTGACCTAAGTTTTGAACCTAATCTCTTCCCCGCCATAAGATTGAGATGTATGTGTGGGGATTGAGGGGGGTGGGCAGGGAATTACGTCCTCAGGTTTTGACAGGTTTGTATTTTGTCCTGGCCATGTCTTTGAAGTAAATATCTCTTTGTAAAAGCTACCTAGTATTGAATGGTTTATTGGAACTGGCCCCGTTATAAATGGACAAAGCATAGCTAAAGCTGAAGCTGAAAAGAGTAGAAAAAGAGATACATCAACCCCTTTGGGATAGCAGAGAACTGGAGAGGTGTGATGTAATAGGCCTGTCCCTGAGAGAGTGAAGCTAGAGCTTCTGTATCTGTCACCGAAGTATTCAAAGCCCAAACAGAGGTAATTGATCAATTGATCATTGATCAAAGAATGTCAAAACTGGAAGGAATTTCAGAACCTATATGAAAGATAAGATAAGACCTGGGTCAGCTAGGTGATGTGATGAATAGAGTTCTGGGCCTGGAGTCAGGAAGATCTGAGTTCAAATCTGGCCTCATAAACTTACCGTTCGACCCTGGGCAAGTCACTCAACCCTGTTTGCCTCAGTTTCTTCACCTGCAAAATGAGCTGGAGAAGGAAATGGCAAACTCACTTCAATATCTTTCCCCCAAAAAGAAAAAAAAAACCAAATGGGGTCACAAAGAGTGGGACACAACTGAACGACAGCAACGAGAGAAGACCTAGAACACAGAGTATCACATCTGGAACATTATGGAATATTAGAAGTGGTAGAAAGGACTTTAGAATCATAGAACAAGAGAATGTTAGGGCAAGAAGGAGCCTTAGAGACCCATCGAGTATTAGTCCAACCCTTTCATTTTATACAGAGGTTGAAGTCCAGAGAAAGGAAGTGGTTTTTCCATCATCAAACAGGTACTAGGTAACAGAGCCTAGATTTGAACCCTGGTCACTAGATAAATAGACAGACAGACAGACAGACAAACAGATAGATTATTCACTAAGGCATTTACAATGTGCCAGGTATTGTGCCAAGTGCTGGGGACACAAAAACAAGCAAAAAAGATGGTCCTTATCCTCCAGAAACTTGTGTTCTTTTTCCTTTTTATTATTTGTTTATTTGACAGAAAAAAAATTGGGGCTGCTTAATAAATGTTTATTGACTATTCACTGTAACTTACATTAGACATTACATTCTTTTAAAAAATTTATTAGAAGCTTATATTCTTTTTTTTTTTAGGCAATTGGGATTAAATGACTTGCCCAGGGTCATACAGAGAAGCTTATATTCTAATGTGGGAGAAGGTAATATTTATAAGGGAGCTGGAAAGCAGGAGAGGAGGAGAGAAGGATCCATGTGCAGGATACAGCAGCAGGTGAAAAGGTACAAATGACCAGCTATGAAGCCAGAAGACTGATTATGAAGCATATTTCCTGCCCCTTGGCAAAGAAATGATTGCCTAGCAGGCAACAAAGATCGAGACATGCATTTTGTGATGCAACCAATTATATTTTGTTACTATAGTTATTTGTTACAAGGAAGGGCTTTTATTTTGGTAATGAGGAGAATTATGGGAAGAAAGGAGGTAGTGATAATGATGCCAAAACAGAAGAAAAGAAGAATGTCAAGGAAATATTTTTAAAATACACAGAACAGAGCGGAAGGAAGTTCAAAAGATAACATAGACAAGCAGGGAAGTATTGGTGTTACTGTGAAAAGTTATTATTTACTTCTAAAAAATAAGTTGCATATAATAGAGATTTCATGTACAATCTTCTTTTTCTGTCTTTCTTTGTATATAGAAATTTTCTTGTTTGTTGGTATTTGTCAAATTCATAATTAAAAAACATTTTTGAAAATATTAACAAACTGGGAGGCATAGCTAACATGCTGGATGATGGAATTTGTATACAAAGAGATCTTGACAGGCTAGGAGACTGGGCTAAATAAATCTAATTAGATGAAATTTAATAGGGATAAATGGACAAATTTACACTTGAGTTTGAAAAAAAAACCACTTCACAAGTACATGATAGAGTAATCAAGTTATATAATATTTTGAAAAAGACCTAGGGATGCCAACCCAAGAATGAACAATGTGATGTGGAAGTTTTTTTAAAAAAAACTAGTATCTTTTTAAATGAGATATGATGACTCAGGGAAGGATAGTCCTGACAAAGGGCAACAAAGATGGTGAAAGGTCTTGAGACATGCTGTGTGAAAAATGGCTTAAGGAACTGGGGATGGTTCAGTGGAATTGGTGAATTAGGTGAATAGAGTGTTGGGCCTGAGGTCAGGGAGGCTTGAGTTTAAATATGGCCTCATATACTTACTAGCTGTGTGACCCCAGGCAAGTCACTTAACCCCTATCTGCCTCAGTTTCCTCCACTGTAAAATGGGAATAGCACCGGCCTTATAGGATTGTTGTGAAGGTCAAACGAGATCGTATTTGTAAAGTGCTTATCACAAAGTGTGGCACAAAATAGTACTTAATAAATGCTGTCCCCTTTCTCATAAAGAATAGAAGATTTTGGGAGGACACGATAACCATTTTTGAATATTTGAAGGGTTCCATGGAAGAAGGATCGGATTTGGTCTTTGAGGACAAAATCAGGAGCCATGGATAGAAGTTGCCATGAAACACATTCCACCTCAATGCAAGGAAAACTCCTGAGAAATTAGATCTACCCCAAAGTGGAATGGGAGATAGTGAGAAGACCTTATTGGAAGTTTTTAAGTAGATGACCACTAAGTTCATCAGGTCAGGTTGGACTAAATAACCCCAGAGCCTCAGAGGTCAGGGCCTTCAGCTCTAAGATGCCATAACATAGTACCCCCCAACCCCTCATCATGTCCTAATTTGCCTTACATGCATCAGGGTGTGATCCTATTCACCCTACTGACCTGTGACTTACTTGATCGTAAAGGTGCTCTTGTGTGGTTTTATATCTCCCAGAGCCCGGAGCATAATGCCCTATACAATAGCACCAGCATAGTATGTCATTATTAACTTCCACAACTGAGCCCCTCAAATGAAGAATCTTAGGACTGTAGACTATCAGAGCTGGGAGCATTTTTAGAGAAAAGTCCAACCAGCTTGGAAGCCAAGAAGACCCAGGTTCAAGTCTCACCTCTGACACATGTTATCTGTGTTGACCTTTTCTCAGAATCCAGGCAGAGAACATGCTAATCTGCTTTGGTAGAGTGAGTTTCCTCACCTGGGAGTTGCCTCTAGCAATGAAATACTGTTCCAATACCTATCCCTTTTAAGTTTGCCGGGCACAATGCTGTGAACTGGGGGTACAAAGGCAAAAATTAAACAGCCCCTGTCCTTAGGGAGCTTACATTCTACAGGCATGCTTCAGAAATATTGTGGGTTCAGTTCCAGACCACCACAATAAAGCAGGTATTGCTTTAATAAAGTGAGTCACACAGATTTTTTTGGTTTGCCAGTGCATATGAAAGTTATGTTTACAGTGTACTGTAGTCTATTAAATGGGCAATAGTATATCCAAAAAAAATGTGCATACTTCAATTAAAAAATACTTTACTGCAAAAAAAAAAATGCTAACCATCATCTGAGTCTCCAGTGAGTCATAATCATTTTGCTGGTAGAAGGTCTTGCCTCAATGTTGATGGCTGCTAACTGATCAGGATGGGGGCTGCTGAAGGTTGGGATGGCTGTGGCAATTTCTTAAAATAAGACAACAATGAAGTTTGCCCATCTATGGACTCTTCCTTTCACTTTAACACTTAGAGGCCAATATAGGGTTATTAATTGGCCTAATTTCAATATTATTATGTCTCAGGGAATAAGGAGGCCCAAGGAGGAGGATAGAGGCTGTGATAGCTGATCAGCAGAGCAGCCAGAACACACACATTTGTGGATTAAGTTTGCCATCTTATATGGGTGCAGTTTGTGGGTGGTACCCCAAAACAATTACAATAGTAACGTCAAAAATCTCTGTTCACAGATCATCATAGCAGATATAATGAAAAAGTTTGAAACACTGCGAGAATTATCAAAATGTGACACAGAGGCAGGATGTGAGCACATGCTGTTGGAAAAATGGTGCCCAGAGACTTGCTCAACGAGGGGCTTTCACAAACCCTCGATTTGTAAAAATGCAATATCTGTGAAGGGCAATAAAGTGATGTGCAATAAAATAAGGTACAGCTGCACAGATGTCTTACATCACTCATCTAGTCCAGTCTTCTCAGCCTGGAGAGGGGTTAGGGATTTGTTGTTGCCTGAAGAGGACCTGGATTTGAATTGCAGGAGCAGCAGGAGCAGAAGCATAATATTGCTAGGGTGATGGAAGGTTAAATGGAGGATCTTGGGTTTCCAGCACCAAGAGGAAACTCCAGCAAAATCCCTGTTAAAGGGACATCTCTCCAGCATCACTGACTCAATCCAGAGGGAGGCTTAAGGAAGCCTATAAATGCAGTTCCTTTTATTCAGGATGCCCTTAGGTATGCAAGCTAGAAAGTCATAGGTTTCATAGGAAGTTACAAAGAGAGAGAGAGAGAGAGAGAGAGGTGAAAAAGAGAAAGAGGGAGAGAGAGGTGAAAAAGAGAAAGAGGGAGAGAGAGGTGAAAAAGAGAAAGAGGAGAGAGAGAGAGAGAGAGAGAGAGAGAGAGAGAGAGAGAGAGAGAGGAGGGAGATAGAGGAGAGAAAGAAAAAAGGGGGACAGAGGGGAAGGAGAAAGGGAAAAGGAAGGGAGAGAGGGAGGGAATGGAGAGAGAGAGGTGAAAAAGGGAAAGAGGGAGAGAGAGAGAGGAGGGAGATAGAGGAGAGAAAGAAAAGGGGGACAGAGGGGAAGGAGAAAGGGAAAAGGAAGGGAGAGAGGGAGGGAATGGAGAGAGAGAGGTGAAAAAGGGAAAGAGGGAGAGAGAGAGAGGAGGGAGATAGAGGAGAGAAAGAAAAAAGGGGGACAGAGGGGAAGGAGAAAGGGAAAAGGAAGGGAGAGAGGGAGAGAATGGAGAGAGAAAGAGAGAGAGAGAGAGAGAGAGAGAGAGAGAGAGAGAGAGAGAGAGAGAGAGAGAGAGAGAGAGAGGAGGGAGATAGAGAGAGGAAGAGAGAAAGAAAAAAGGGGACAGAGGGGAAGGAGAAAGGGAAAAGAAAGGGAGAGGGGGAGGGAATGGAGAGAGAGAGTGCCTTTATTCACCCTGTTTTCCACAGATTCCCTGTCTCATACACTTGCCAAATTCATCCAGCACTTTAGAGGTGGAGCCAGGACTAGAGAGCCCAGCTCCCGACTCTCAGGAAAGCAGCATGCATTGGAGAGAGCAGACTGAAGTGAGAGGGTTTGGGCCTGCTTCCCAGCTTTGCTATTTACCACGTGTCTGACCTTGAGCAAGTCTTCTCTGGGCCTCAGTTTTCTCACTTGTAAAACTAGGGCTTAGGACTAAATCACCCTTGAGCTCCCTTCCAACTCCCAAGTCTTTGATCCCATGATCCAGCTCAGAATGGCCTGCCCCCTCCTCCACCCCACCCCACCCTCGGGCTCAGGGCAGCAGGTAATTGTGACTTTCTGGGCGTGGCTCAGGCAATGACTCAGTATTTGAGCTCCTGCTTGGAACCTGGGAAAATGAGTTGCTTGTTCGTCAGTGCCTAGACAGTCGCCCACACCCCTGGAGGCCTTGGGAGCGCTTCCTCTGGGGATGTGCGCAGCTGCCAACAGCAGGCTTTGACTGCAAGGAACCTGGGCCAGTGGTCTGGAAACCTGACTTGGCCACACCCACAGTTTCAGAGCATCCCCTGGGCTTCCGAGCACCAGCATGTCCTTTCTATGAGGCATTTAGAATTTGGGGACATTGAGGGCTTAAAAAACAAAGGGCCAGTTTCCTTAGCCTACTGAGCTCCGTCATAGCTTTACTGAGTGTTAGATCTTTGAGGGGCCTTTAGAAGTAGACAACCTAGAAGGGCAGGAAGAGGCCTGATAGAATGGTAGAATATAAAATGTCCGGGGGGGGGGGGGAAGCAGTGCTGCCTGGCAGAGCTAGAATGTAGAATTTGGGGGCTGGGATCATTAGTCTAATGACCTTGTTTTACAGATGGGGAAACCAAGGCCCAGAAAAGGCAAAAGGCGTGTGCATGGTAACAAAATGAGTTAGTGGCAGAGGTGGTAATTGAATCCAGGTGTCCTGATTCCCAGCCCAGGGCATTTTAATTTGCATTCCCTGAGCTCCTATGAGTCACATGGTAGGAGGAGATGTCTTGGAACTTCTCTGGGAGTGAAGCATTTTTCCTCCAGTTAAAATGCTATGAGATGAGTTTGAAAAGAAGATAAAAAATATTGTATAAAAGTCAAAGTATCATTATGGCTAAAAATGGGCTGTAGGAAATCCACCTCCAGATAACTGCAAGCTGGGGTATTATTGCAGGGTACTGACTTGGCAAAGCTTGCTGGTGGGTGGCATGCCCGGGCAGCCTGAAGCCCTTAGGTCACATTAGCTGCCGAAGTTGGAAGTGTTCCAGGGAAACAGGCCATCTCTCTCTTTGACCAATCGTTATGCTGCAGGGGACCGGCAAGAGGTCCCTGTCTCTTGGAGAGTACTTGTTAGATATCCAGACCTGCTCTGGCCACACTGTCCCTATTAGAACAGCAGACCCAGGATGTGTGTGTAGAAGACCACTCATTTAGGAAGAGGACTTAATGGGGGGGGGGCCTGCAGACTCCAGAAAGGGCATCCTCCTCTTCAGTCTTTCCCTAAGCACATAGCTGGGAAACCCTGTGAGGGTAGTGTAAGTATTATTATTCCCTTTATACAGATGATGAAACCAGATCAGAGACATAGACCAAATTGCCCAGAGTCACAAAGACAGGGGGCATCAGAGTTGGGATTCAACCCTGGTTCTCCTGCTGTAATGTACCACCTTTCCTCTAAGGTACACGGATGAAAGAAAAAGACGTGTAGTTACAGTTGGATAGATAGATGTGGGGGAGGGGAAGGAAGGAAGGAAGAGAGAGAGAGAGAGAGAAAGAGAGAGAGAGAGAGAGAGAGAGAGAGAGAGAGAGAGAGAGAGAGAGAGAGATTTAGTACTTAACCAGGGACTGTGCTAAGAGCTTGAGATATGAATATAAGGAAACAAGAATCCCTACCCTCAAGGAGCTTATAGTCTATGAGGAAAAGAAAATACATAAAAGAATACTGGAAAGGGGGAATGTTTCACACACTGTGGCATGTGGAGATGGCCAGGAAATGAACTGAAGGCCTGGATATGGGCAAGATAAAGTAAGAGTCCATCTTTTGGAGTCCAAGGTGGTTCTGGGGGGCTAGAGTCCAAATGGCAGAGAGGTAGAGATAAAGTCCAGAGTGAAGCAGAGGCTGTGAAATCTGGAAATGGTAGTGAAATGAGATGAGGAAGCTTATAGTTTAGTGGGGAAACAGGACATATGAACACAAACATATATAGGGTAAACACATTCTTCTATGAGGATGAATGTGAGGACCTTGAAAAATACAAACATCTGCTAAGGAAGTCCAGAAAAAGGGCATATACTATTTTTTTGGGGGGTGCTGGGGGATGGAAATCAGGGAAGGCTTCATGGAGGAGGGGGCATTTAAGCTGAGCATTGAATGATGAATAAGATGAAGAGACAGAGGTGTATAGGTAGGGAATGATGGGAGCAATGATAGGTGCTCGGTGTGTAGCTGCCTAGTTTAGCTAAAGCAAAGGGTGAATAAAAGGGAGGGGGTGGAAAGATTACAACAAAAGGTTACAAGATCTGATTGGCAGGTAGGGGAGGAATTTAGTTCAAGAGGCGATGGGGAAGCCCTGAAGGATTTTGAGTAGGGGAGAGAACTAATGAAAGCTGGTGCTTTAGAGAGACTCATCTGGCGTAATGGATCTCTCTGGGCCCGGTCTCTGACTGTCTGGACTTCTTTCCTCACCGTGTCTCAGGAGTCTTCTCACCCTGCAAGACCGCCCCCGCCTCCTCCCCCCCCCCCCGGCCTTTTGGTCCCTTTTGTCTGATTAATCATCTCGTTCTGGAACCTCTATTTTAAGAAAGGGCGTCCAGGTCAATTATGCATACTTTTTAAATTCCCCACTCTCCCAGCTAGGCACATAGTAAGTGTTTAATCAAGGCTTTATATGCTGTCAATAAACACTGATTAAATGCCAACCCTGTGCTTGTCGACTAACTGATTAGATTGGAAAAGAGAAGACGCGAGGCAGGGAGACCTGTTACTAGGTAAGGTATCTTAGGTAAGGGAAAGAACCCAGAATTTGAATCCCAGCGCGGCTTCCTAGAGCCTGGTGTGACGTCCAGCTAATTCCTTCTCTTCAGGGCTCTATATCCGCAGGCCTTGCATTTGATGGTCTCTATAAGGTCCGTCCCCCCGTCCCCCCCCATTTCTAAAAGCTGTGAGCACATTACCTGTTAGCCTAGTGAAATAATACAAACGAGAGGTACTAAGAGCCTGAACTGAGCTGGCTGTGGCTTTGGGAGGGGCAGCGGAGAGGAGGCGTCAGCCTCTCCGGAAGTAGGCTGATAGGTCTTGGTGATTGCTTGGATGTAGGAGGTAGGGAAAAGGGAAGAGGCAAGAATGACTTTGAGGGTTCAAGCCTGGGTGACTGGGAGGTGCTATTGGCAGAAATAAGGAAGTTAGGAGGAGGGGCAAGCTCATGGGGGGAAATGATAAACTCAGTTTTGTTTGTCATAGAATCTGGACTTGGAAGGGAGCTTCTATTATAAATCATTAGTTCAAACCCTATATACGGAAGAGAAAATTGAGGCCCAGAATGGTGTGATTGTAACTCAGATTTTCTGATTCAAAATCCAATGCTCTTTCCCTTTAAGTGACAGAAGGGACATTCAGATGCAAATGTTCTACAGTTTATGGGGAGATAACAGGCGGCGGGTCATTTCTACCTCCTAAATGCCATTCCTTTCTTTCCTTCTCCTCTTACACCGTCGTCTCCTCCCCACACCCCACGACAGGTATGATCAATTGATTGGCCTGGATTTCCCGCCCCCGTCCCCGCCCCCATGTAGGTTAGACTAGCTCTTTTCCTAAAGTCAAAGGAGCTGTCCCCAAGACTGGAGTGGCCCCAGGCAAATAGAGCCTAAGCCAGTTTGCTGTTGACTCTTTGCAGCGTCAGGATATGTTTGATGGGGTTGCCTAAAGGTAATAAAAAGAGGAGTTGGAAAATTACAAAGAATGTCTTTTGACAATTACAAACAAGAAAACATTTTAAGAAATTTAATTCTGAAAAGTTTTTTTAATGATAAAATTTTTTAAAATTATAATCTTATAATGTAAAAAAACTCCAGAATTAAGTTCAAAGAAAATGTTTTGGTTTGTTTTTAAAAGAGATTCTTCATAGTTTTTAAATAGAATTTTATAAAATTGAATTTATAAAAAACTAATTAAAATTATAAAAATTTAATTTAGAAAAAAATTTACATGATAACTTCATCATGTATTTAAAAGAAATAGCAAGTTGTACATAATAGGTTTGCAGTTTTACATGCAATCTTTTTTTTATTCTGCTATGTTATGGAATGTTTGTTATAGTCTATAAATTAAAAAAAATTTTAAATAATTTAAAATTTAAAAAACTTCCAGAATTAAGTTAAAAGAAATTTTTTGTTTTTAAAAAGATTCTTTGTGCTAAAAAAAATAATAAAATTTAGTTTGTAAATTTATAAAATTTAATTTTAAATAAATTTTAAATTAAAAAATTCCAGAATTAAAAGAAAATTTTATTTGTTTAAAAAGAGATTCTTTACATAATTTTTAAATTAAATTTTATAAATTTAATTTAATTTAAATTTAAATTAAAAAAAACTTCCAGAAAAAAAGTTAAAAGAAAATCTTTTGGTTTGTTTTTCAAAAGAGATTCTTTATAAAATTTCTTAATCCTCCAAAAAAATGGAGTTAAGGCCCTTTGCATTTGGTGGATGTCCCTAGGACCTGTATAACAACACACCTTGCCCTGCTGACCAGATGGGTTTCCATACAGAGATGAGGGAGCTCTGAGTGGTGAATTCTAGTGGTATCCTTTCTATGCTATTCTAAATAACCTCAAATTTGTTAACTGTTGAATGACCTACAAATGTCTCTTGTCATTCCAATACGGGACCTAAACTACCAAGAGACCAGCCTGAGCCAGGCTCAGCACATTACAATCCCTATTTCATCTCTGTGATATTCTAGGTAGAGAGATCCCAGGATTTTGAGCTGGAAGGGCCCTTAGAGATCATCTAGTCCAAGGACCTCATTTGTAAAATAAGGAAATTGAGGCCAAGAGTGCTGAGGCCCTATCTCCCGGCAGAGCCAGGATTTGAAGCCAGGTCCCTCGTATACTACGTTGCCATCTAGGTCTTATGGC